GCAGAACTAGAGCTGCCCATCACGTGACCCCACCCTGCCACTCAAAGGGCGGGTGAACAGCCGGCAGCCCCTGAAGGTTCGGGCCCGCCCCTCCCTGGGAGGGGCTTCAAACCCAGCGTCCGCCTGGCTGCGCCCCTGGGTCCCCGCCTTTCTGCTCTCTGCTGCTGCGGGACGAGGGTGAGGAGAGCGGACTCGGCCCGCGACGGGTCCCCGTGGGATAGATCAACACGGGAGGAAAAGCCAGTTTCATTCCGTATGTGCGGAGGCCCAGTAAGGGAACTGAGACCCAAAGAGGTGACCAGGCAGCTTTTACACATTTTATACAAAGAGACAATGAATCCGTGAGGAATTGACAGGACAAAGAATTCTTCTATTTGGGAGCTTCAGTTAGCAAGGACATCTAAACAGCCTTTGGGGCTGGGGCAGTAAATCAGTAAACAAGTCAGAGGCTTGTTCAGGCAGACATCTCGGCTCCGGGTTCCCTCCGGGTTCCCCGTCTCTGCAGACAAGGACGCCGGCTACCGCCAGGGCAGGGGGGCGCCTTTGCGCTGGGAGATGCACTTCCCGGTTTCAGGGGACAGAGGGGGGTCCCAGCGCCCCTCGCGCCAGTTGTTGCCCAGAAACTTTAACTCGAAGTTATTAACACGCCGAAGCGGCACATTTGGGGGTAGCCTGCCCTTGGCCCCCTCCAAGGGCGCTGATGCCATTCTGCAGAACACGGAAATGTGGGGCTGCTAGCTCAGTTCTTGTCGTTTCTCGTTCGGCAGCATAAAGGCGGGCTGGGACTGCTGCTGCTCCAGGTCTCAAATGGCTTAGACACAAAGATGCCCCGGTGGTTTGGGCATGAATGGGAGAGGCGTAGAGGCCCTCATGAGTGTGTGCAGCTAACCAGGCGCTACGCCTCGGTTGTCCCACAGTCAAGACCAGCCTGCTTGGCTTACGAATGTTCCGGGGTTCTGCTCATAAACGCTCACCTCCCCACATGAACAGAATATCAGAGTTTGCAGGGGGCTAATGATTTTTTTGTTACCTAAAATGTAAACCTTCTGCATGCTTCTCAACACTTTGATTTGTTCAAAAATTTCTGAGTAAATAGGGTGAAAATAAAATCAAAACAAGACGCAAAAAAAAAAAAACACCTGGGATCAGTGAGCAATACAGAAGAATGGAAAAATTGTGCAAACAAATCCCTTTCTAAGTAACTAAGAAACTTTTCATTTCTCGAGTTACATAAGGAAGTACATGCTTCCTCGTAAGAAGGAAAATACAGAAGCGGAAGTTTTATGAGTGGAAATCGTTGGATTTATTCTCTGACCTGATAAAAATAGAAGCCACACTAGAGTATGATCAAAGCGTAGGAGCATCTGTTGGGGAAGAAGAAATTTCCTCAGCCCATCAAGGTTCTTCTAGTTGGTCTAAGAATCAAATTGACAGGAGACACATTAGTGGGAGAAAAAAGAAACAAAATTTAATTTCATATGTATGGGGAAGACACAGATGTGGGTTCCAAAGACAGTCAGGGAGAACGGGGCGTAGATGTTGTCCTGAACCCAGCAGAAGGGGGCAGGGGTCTGAGACGCCAAAGGAAAAGGGAAGCAATTCACAGCAATATGAAAAGAGTAAATGTGTGATAAACAAATGTTTGATGGGCTACGAGAAACAAACACAGAGGGGAATTTTAACAGACAGTCACATCCCTCCCCTTACATTTTAATGTATTTATTTATAGTGCTGGCTCTCCTTCTGGAGCAATGCCTGCATCTAAAGTCTTTCGTCGCGGAGTCAGGTATCTTTCAGGGTCTCTTGGGCCTTGACGGTCTTCAGCTCCCAAACAATATGCACGTCCCAATGGCACACTGTGGGCCGCCTGCCCTGGGTACTGTGCATTGAACACAGGAAATCCCATTTCGGGTCTCACTTCTAATGTGTCATAAACCACTCTCTTTAAAAATAATTCTCATGCTCTCTTATTCTTGAGTGCACCGCTTATGTCATGGAAGCAAAATAAAATGTATTTATTTCCCGTGTAGCTCCTTGTGAGCCCCGGTTGACTCTGTAGGGTAGCTGTGCTTGTGTGATTTTTCAGAGAGAAGAAGGTGCTTCCAGTCTTATATTTTTCCATCTCTTTTCCAAACAGGATTCCTCCGGGACAAACCTTGCAGTGGAATAGACACATGAAATCGCCTGGCCTGGCTGTGCCTGCCAGCCATTTACGCTCACCTCCCCTGACCAGCGCTTGCCACCAGCCCCACATGTCTCAGAAACCAGAAGAACGTAATCCTCTGTCTGACCCAGGGAGGCAGATGGACTTTTCTTGGGTCCCATGAGATGTTTTCAGAAGTGTGCACCACCTTCCTCTGCCTGGTGGGGTATTGGGTGTCCTCATATCCGGCATGAATGTGTTTCCTGAGCCCCCTACTGGGCAGGATCTCGGCTGGGCACTGGGGTCCCAGGGAGTAGTCACACTCTGCTTTACTCCAGGAAGCTCATGTCCCAGTGTGGCGGGCCAGAGAGAAGCTGTAATTATAACTCAGCCTGTTGGGCAAGGTGGGGTGTGGCACAGGCTTGCCGGGGACAAAAGGCCCCCGTAATTGAGGCCGTGTGATGAAGACGATGCCTACACTGAGATACTCAGGAAATCGAGGAGTTTGCCGTGTGGAGGAGCAGCAGGCTCCCCGTCTAAGAGCTGAATGAGTTTACTGCGTGTGGCAGTGTGCGCGTTGTTTTGTGTAGATACCAATTCAGTTCGAAAGCAGAAGAATAAAGGGTGAGACGGAATGGCCCAGAGAACATCGTGTGCTAAGAACAGACGTGTGGGTTCCTTGGGGACAACAGTGGGGACCCAGACAACGTGTAAGCAGGCGGTGCCATCCGCAGGGTGTGGGTGGAAATGCATCTGGCAGAAATTTTTGTGGAGTTGAAAGGTGATAAGACATCCTAGGAGAAGATTCTGCTTGGGACTCATGTTCCATTGGACATAGCATCTCATAAAAGATGCTGAATATTCTCATCGCCCGGCGGACCCTCCCATTGGGTGGGGAACCCTGAGAACATGGGCACCAAGTCTTCAAGTTTGCATCGTAAATCTGAGCACTTGTATTTTGGCTAGTGTTGCCAAGGCACTTTATTTTAAATTTTATTTAATTTAACCTATTCTAATTTCAATGTAAATAGCCATATATGGCTACTGGTTACCATATTAGACAGCTCAGAATCTCTGTAACATTTTATTGACTAATCGAAGAATTAACTGACAGAGGATATACATCAGACTTTTTAAGTTTGCTTTAGTAGAATTTCAGAAAAAGGAGGATGATAATGATTGGATTTCCAGTATGTGCGGGTGGGCACAGCAGAATCTCTGGCAATGGCTGATATTCATAACAGAGTCCTATAATAGGATTCTCAGTATGACGTAATAGAGTGACAGTGGAGCTGAGCGGTTAGGTAGGGGTTCTGGGCTCTAAAGACGATCCTGAACGTCGTGAGGCTCTGCTGCTGTCACCGTGGAGATGTAGCGATTGTTTGGAAGAGGAGGAAGGGGGCCCGTGAGGGAACTCCTCCTTGGAAGATACCCGGGTCCTCGCTCAGAAAGGCTCACGCGTGGAGCCAGGTCCGGCCTCTGCAGGCTTGGTGTCGTTGAGTGTCATGTGGATGCTGGGTTCACGGAGGGGCCCATGGGCCTCAGGGAGGTGGCGCGGAATCCCTGGGAGAGGATCCATGGGTCCAGCTGGGCATAGATCACATCCTGTGTGTCTTCTGGGTCCTGCAAGGAAAAAGGTAAGAATCCTGGGCTGAGACACGGTCACTAAAGGTGGGGTCGCTGGACATGCGGTGGGGCAGACACTGTGGCAGGCATTTGGGGAGCTCACCTCGCCGTCCATCGCTGGGTCTTCCTCGGGCCCTGTGCTCTTCATGGCAGCACCTGTGAGTGGGAGAGGCAGTTGAGACTCCGGGCAGAGCTCTTCCAGGCCCTTCGGTCACAGAGGAGGACATCAGGGCCAGGGGGCGGCCGTGGTGTGCCCGAGCTGCTCAGCCTGCCCACCTCTCCAGTCCAAAGAACCATCCCATCTACAGCCCCAGGTGTGCACTGCCTGCCCCAGGGGCCCGTCCCCTCCCATTTCCCTCCCTCCGATATCTTCCACTGCAGACCATCTCCTTCTGCAGGTCAGTGGGCTCCCAAGAGCTGAGGAGCAGATTGAGGAGAAGGGTGGTGGGCGAGTTGCAGGAAAGGCCAGGGGGCCCATGGGTCTCCCTGGAAGACCCTCCACCAGGGATCTGAACACTCAAACCACAGACCAGCCCTCAGGAGGTGAGCATGCAGCTCTGGGCCCCAATCACACCCCATGTCCGCTCAGACGACACGGTCCTTTCTCCTTCAGACTTACGCTTTTTGGTAGAACACCAGAGGCAAACAAGCACGGCCAGGAAAATGCCAGTGGAGATGAAGGTCGCAGAGAGTCCAGTGAGAATATACCACTTGTCGGTGTCCTCTTGAGGATGATAGGCTTCTGTCAATAATCAGACGGCAGGAGCTCCGTCTATCGGTTGTCTCTTTATGCCAGGAGCTGCTGGAGTCTTTACACACTTTATCTCAAACCCTCCCAGCATGCCTGCATTTGACCGCTTTACTCTCCATTTCCCAACAAAACCCAAGGGCCGTGATGATGGTCGTTCAAACCAGAGTCCTGGGAGGCAGACGGAGGCCAGACCCAGGGTCCCAGGCTCTTCTGGGCTGCCCCATAGGCCAAGACATGAGGCTTTGCCTGAAAGGGCACCGCCTACATCAGCCTTGGCTGACCACCCCTCCCTCCCATTCATCCTAACTCCACCACGGCCGGCCGCACACTCTGAAAACGGAGAAGGAGGGGGCTAGAGAGCAGGGGATGCCTCTGGGTCAGGGTGCCGAGACATGAAGTCACTCCCCCAGGAATGACCACACATGGGGCAGGGAGCCATTCGCTGGAGCGGGCGGGGAGGCAGCCAGGGATGTACCACATCTTGAGACCCTTCTCTGCGGCTGGGCCCCGTCTGCGGGTTGGGGAGCTCCACACTGTGGTGAATGCCTCTTTTCCTCAGTGCACACCGTGGAGGGAGGCACCGTTAGTTGAGGAGATTGATGCTACGGGGGTTCAGTTCCTAGATCCGGCAGAGCTTCGAGCAGGGTCCACAAATCTGACTCCAACCTTTTGGCTTTCAAGGGCTACGCCATTCTCCCCCACCAGGCTCCCTGCCCCGTGGTCCTTTTCTCTAAAAACTCAACTCCAAGTTTCCACACAGGGACCCAGGAGCTCTAAGAGGCACGAACAAGCCCACGGCTACTCAGCTAAGAAATAGGAGAATTACCCTCTCAGAGCTCCTTCCTAGGGCCTTACCTCGGAGCGTGCTCCTAATCCACTCATCCTGCGCCTCCCCCAGCACCTCTGGCTAAGCCACCATGGTTTTTCTGCACAAGGGCCTGCACGGCCTCCCAACCGTCTCATGGCTTCCAGGCATGGTCCCCTGTGCGAATCTGTTCTCCCCTGCCAACTGTCTCCTTCTAAACTTTGCACAGTGTGATGCTTTTCTGATGTCAGTACTAAATGGCTTCCCATTGCAGCCAAAATAAAATCCACAATCCCTGTCATGACTCGTCCACCCGTAGCTAAGCAGGCTTCTGGCCACCTCTCCAGGTCACCTCTCCACTGCACGGCAGGTGCACTGACTCCACATAGTCCGAGCTCATTGATGCCTTGGATTCCTGGCACTCAGATCCCTCCACCAACCTTCTCAAGACTGGGTCTCCTTGAAACGGAAGCTCACCTGGGCTGTCACCCTGAGCCGGGTACCACACACTCTACAGTGTCCACGTACCCTTTCTGCATCGCATGATCCCAGCTCAGTGTATGGGGATTAAAGAATCTTAATGGAATTTCTCCTCCTGGAGTGCAACCCTCATAAAGGCATGATCCCTTTCCTTCTTAACGGCTGAATGTTCAGCTCATAGACGATTAACAGTTGGGTGATACAACTGTCCCCGTCCCCACCCACCCTGGTCCCTTTGACCCCTCTGTCCAACTAGGAAAAGGCCTCAGTCCAGGAGCACAAGGGGGCGAATGCCCCCCTGATTCCATGCTGTATGCAATCTCAAATGCCAGTGGAGAATTTGGGGATCAGAGAGGGAAGGAGATGAAACAAGGTCACAGAGTTGGGGACACCGGAGCCCTGTGTCCCCGGAGGCTCATGAGCTGAGCACAGAGGCCTCCTTGCTCACCGTCTGTGGGGCTCGGCTCGCCGGGTGATGGGCAAGTGCTTTCAGTGGTTTCTAGGAGGAAGGACAGAGAAGGGGTGAGCAAGCGTCCTGTCTCGCCCCTCTGGAGCAGAACCCCTCCTCTGGAAGGGGGGCCCCTGCGCGTCCCAGCTCTGTCATCCCCTAAGGGCTGATGGTGGTTCTGGTCCCTCCGCCCGAGTGCCTGGGTGTGTGACTTCCTCCCGGGATATGCCTCCTGCGATGCTAAGGATCTAAGCTCCTCATCTGGGGTCTACCTGCGCGTCAGGAGCGCCTCTGGGAAGCGAGTGAGGGTGAGGGGCTGCCGCTGCCGCTGGTCTCCGGCCTCAGTGCGGCCTCAGGAGCGCGGGCCTCCTGGGTCTGCCCTGGCCTTTTTCTTCGTTCACCTGGACCCAGAGGCCCCCAGCGTGGGCTTCCATGCAGGAAGGGTCGGGGGGCGTGCAGGGGCCTGTGTCCCAGCCTCTCTGTATTTCTCACTGCTTCTGTTTCTGCAGAAGCCCCGGATCCCCTGTCACCAACAGGGCGCCCTTCAGATAGAGCTCGTGGTCTAGTGTATCGGAGACACGGGGCAGGTTCGGGATTCCTCACCTGGGACAGAGAGGTGCACTGGGTCACTCGGGGCTGACCACTCATGGGGGGAGTGGTTGAAAGAGCCGTAGCACGTGTAGGCCCCTTCCTGGGCCGGGGTCCCGGGGCCCAGAGGGAAGGCGGCCTGGGAGGCCCCGCTGTGGCTCCGCCCTGCAGCCAGCCGGCGTGGGCAGGCGTGCCCAGCCCTGCACAGGTGGTACACGTCAAAGGAGCTCTCGGAGCCGCAGAGCAAGGTCACATTCCCTGCTGACCGCACCACGGAGCCCAGCAGGGCAGAGAGATGCGGCTTCTCGTGTTTTCCTAGGAAGAAAGCAGGCCTCGACCTTACAGCACAAATTACTCCCACTGTCCTTGGGCGAGAGTGGAGGGGTCTCTGTCCCCATCCTAGGGGCCCACAGTGTGTCATCAGTGCCCCCCATGCCCACTCATCTTGGCAGTGTGTGTGCACGGGTGTGTGTGCCCTTTGCCAGCTCCACTTTGCCCCTGCTCCTTTGCCCTCTGCAGACATCTCTCTGTCTTACTGCCCCTAGAGGCCAACGGGGAGGGGGGAGGGGGGTTCTCTCGTGCAACGGACCCGCTAGCTGCTGCGGGACCCTCAGAACACATGGTGCTGGCCTCAGGCCCCTGGCCCACAACCACCGGGCGTTAGAGCCAGAGCCCCCGTCAGCCCTGGGGACGCTCGCTCTGCAGGGAGTGGCCAGTGCAGCCTGGCACCCGCGGGGCAGGAAGGAACCCCGCCTCTTTGTGCAGAAGGACGCATGACACCACAGAGTCGAGCCACCTCAGGGTGCCAGCTCCTTTCGGATCATCTGGGGGCCTGGCTGAGAATGTCTGCTGTGTGGCTGTTCTCAGGGCAGAGGAGGGGACGCGATGCAGTAGGGGCCACGCCCAGCCTCCCCGGTGCCCCAGCCAGGCCCCCTCACCCCTCTGCTGCCGTCTCCTTCCCATCCCTCTTTCAGGGCCCCTTCAGCTGCCCTGCCCCAGGCTGGGCTTCCCCTGTCGCAAAGTGTTTTGCTCCTTTTCCCTCCATGTTTCGCCTGCCCCCTGTCTCTCCCTGTTCTTCTCTGTCTCTGCCTCTCTCCTGGGCCTGCTGCTCCCTCTGTCTGCCCGTCTGTCTGTCTGTCTATCTCTGCACTGACCCTGCAACACCCCGTCACCCCAGAGGCTCCCGGGGACAAGGAGAATGGGGGCTGGGTGACCACGCTCACCTGTGACCGCGACATCCACGGGGTCACTGGGGGCCGACCACTCCTGGGGGGCGTGGCTGAGGGTGCCGTAGCATCTGTAGGTCCCCCCACGCGCAGGCGTCAGGGGGCCCATGGAGAAGCGAGCCTGGCTGTGCACCCCAGAAAACTTCTCTCTGTGTTGCTGAGAATACTGTGTGCCCCCCTCTCTGTGCAGGATAAACGTGTCAAAGATCAGCCGTGAGTGACAGCACAGGGTCACACTCACCCCTGCGTGCACAAGGGGGCTGGGCTGGGCTGAGATGGAGGGACGCCTGAGCACACCTAGGGAGAAAGAGGGTGTAAGTGCCCCTCCCCACCCCTCCCCTGGCATTTCAGAGCGCATTTCCTGACCCCTCAAGCCCCAAGCAGCCGGATTCTTCCTGCACCTTTGTTGCTGCAGAGCCTCCCCTGCTCGTGACCTTTGCCCCCTGGGCCTCTGCTTGCCTCGGTCTGCTCTCTGTCCATCTCGGCTACCAGCCCCTCTTCCTCCAGGTTCCTTCTAAGCTCTGTGACCTTCAGTCCTGCCCCTGCTCCTGGGCTCCCGGGCTCTGGCAGGGCCATCTGCACGCAGGGCTGTCACGGGCGGGGCCGGACACCTACCTGTGACCACGATCTGCAGGGGGTTGCTGTGTGCTGACCACTTGCAGCTGTGGCAGAGAGCCACAGAACAGGCATAGAACCCCGCATGTGCCACGCTCATGGGGTCTATCGTGAAGCTGTTGGAATGATGTCTCTGGAGCTCACGGCCGCGGGTCCCCTCTCTTCTGAATAGCTTGAATGTGGCAAAGGGAAGGGGGAACTGACACCTCAGAGTCACGTGTCCACCTAGGGGAACCACAGGGCTCGGCCAGGCCAACAGGGAGGGCTTGTGGTGTCCACCTGGGGAGAAGGGCATGGCCATGGAGGGGAAGGTGGGAGCCACCCCGTTGCCAACCTCAGGGGCTCTCCCTCCCCTGTGGCCTTCGGAGGCTTCCCCCTACACCGGCCCCAGGCCCAGGGAAGCCTGGTGGGGGCCAGGGACTCAGCCCAGCCCCACATGGTCACCACAGGTCTTCCCAGAGCAAGAGGTTTACTTAGAGTGTTGGTAACAGCTTGAACAAACGTTCTCTTAAAATTTTTTCTACAAGAACAGAAATACACATGCAAGACGAGGTCATCAGGGCTGGGCTGGAGGCCCCGAGTCACTTCCGGGTCCTCAGAGGGCTCCGGGGGCCCAGCACTGGGTCCTTCCCTCCTCACCAAGATTATTCTAACCCATCTGCAGAGAGGCCGGCTTCTGCTCATCACAGGCTCCTTCAGGAGCTGGCTCGGCCCCCGGGCGGGTGTCTGGGGGGGGGTCTCAGAAGAACTAGAAGCCTAGGGTTGCCAGGTAGCCCCACTTCTTGTGCCTTTGGGGGGCTCCCTGCCCAAGCCAGCCTTGTCACCCACTCCCGAGCTCCCATCTCCCACCGGGGTCACCCATCTGTGTCCCACCAAATTGGCACTGCTGGGGGACTCACCCATGGGTGCCCAGGTCCTCTGGACCAGACAGGCTCCTGGGGGGAAAGCCACGTCAGAGGTGACTGACACCCTGGGAACCTCACCCTCTTGCAAGAGTGCCCTGTCTTGGCGCCCAGCCTGAACTCGGACTTTTCCCCCATAAGCCTCTCCCCCAACCCCTTCCAGAACTTACCGAGACACAAGAGGCTGATGAGTGCGGAGGACATGGTGCTGCTTCTGTCGGATGGGCTGCAGGAGCTGAGCAAAACTGGAAAACCAACAGAATGTGGTTACCAGAGGCTGAAGTTCACCGCCTGCAGTTTACAGGCGGCCCACCACACAGGAAGATGACCGGCTGTTTCTCACTCTAAATATGGGAGGTGTTGTGGAAAACTTACAGATAACAGTCATGGCTCAGCACAGCCCTGAGGAAGGCCCTGCTCCAACCCCTGGCTGACCGATCCCTCGCACCCAGGTCTTGAATCGGATTTTCCTACCTCCAAAACCCTACAGAGGGATTTAACGTATCTTGGCTGTCTTTTCTGAGATATACATATGATTCAATGTATAACCATGTGTGATGTTCTGCTACCAAATTAGTGTGTGTTTATCGTTCATGTGATAAATGGAGTTTAGAAAAAAACAGTTCTCTTATTTTTGATACTTATTAATTGCAAATGGAGAAATAGTGACAAATTTTTAAATTTTCCTGCCGAGTGTTGAGGAAATCTGATTCTGCAGCATTAGCACAGATCAGAATCTGCCAATTCCGGCCATGAAAGGTCTACTTGAGATTGATTATTTACTTGTAAGTCAAAACTCTGATATTCTTCCCTCAGCCTCAGCAACATATGTAGACACTCATATATATAAGTATGAATAGATATATACATTCATGTTGAAGATATATGTAATATGCATACATACACACATATGTATACTTTTATTTTATATAACATTTTTATAAAAAATAATCTATATTGTATTGATACAAGATATATAAACAAATATATACAAATCATAATAAATATACACATACATATGTGTATATAATGATGAAGGTACTTCAAACAGTCAACAATATCAGAAAAAATAAGTTCTATCAAGAACAAAGGTGTGAAATCAAGCTGACCCAGCAACCAGGATACTCAAGGGAACACCAATATGGCTCGGGCTGTGCCTCCTGCGTCCCCGCCCTTCCTATAATCTGATGTGACCACTGCACTGGGTCTTTTGTTTATTTCTTCAGAGTTGTTCTTGTCAGTATGGTTCTCCCACACCATCATGCTATTATATGCAACATTTGTGTCTGCACATACATAATTATTTATGCTTCAATTCAGAAGAAAAGGACAAGGCACTTACGCACCTTTATGTGTGAGACCGTATTGCGGTGCCCACACTGTTTTGCTGAGCTCCGGTTTATTTCCTGGCCGGTGTATAGTTCTCCACTGCCAGAATATTCCCCAGTGCATTTATCTTTCTTGCTCACTCTGACACCTGTTTTTACCACGCATTTCCTTTTAAGAGCAGAGCTGCCCTGAAGGTTCTGGCCTATATCCGCTGGAGTGTATGAGCTAGAGCTCTCTGAGTGTACAGCCAAGGGAAAAATTGTGGGGCAGGGGGCGTGTCGAGATACCCATCAACCCGAGAGCAGCGCGTGGTTACTTCTGTATGGATGGCACCCTTTGTGCTTATTTTCCTGCTTCCCAGCAAACGCCTGATTATTTTGAGAGGATAAATTCTATGTTAGTGTTTAGTTAAATAATTACACTCTATGAACAGACAGTAAATCAATGCTGTTACTTAAATATCTATAACTGTAGGTGACTGTACCCTCCATGAGATGATATTTTTATACAAAAATTGCAAAAATAACACAGTGTTTCATAAATAAAAAGAAATTAGTGCCGTGATTCACAAAAGGTGTCATAGAAGTGGGAAGCAGAGAGCCAAGGTCTCATAATGGAAAGTCATCCTCCGAACAAAAACACTTAGAAAATAACTGTTTAAAATTATGATATCTTATTGGTTAATCATGACAGGAAGTCATGGCCATGGACTTTGTTTGGGAGTGCTTGGAGGTGTGTGTGGGATTCTTGCCAAGGAGACAGGCTAAAAGTGTCTGCACATTGGGATAAAGCCAAGAAATCCATGGAGCGAACTGTTTTTCATTTCCATTTTTATTTACTGCAAACGGAACTGGGCTGGTAAGGCAGTCAAATAGATAGTAGAGTGGCCTTTGAGGAAGGAAAATTTGAATACTAATAAAAAAAGTTCTGGCTCTTGAGGTTTAAATGTACCTTGATTTCTAAACAGTCAATGAAACTGGGAAATTTTACATTTCACGTTTTTATTAAAGGATATATTTCCTTGTCTTTTTCCTGCAGTGATGAACTATTATTGCAGAGGTAAAATTGGTGCAGGTAATACATTATTCACAAGTATTCCTCACCCAACCCCCATCCTACTGAGGTATAATTGACCTATGACATTATATACATTTACGTGTACAGGCGACAGTTTGATATATGTATAGTGCAAAATGTGACCACACTGTCAGTTAACACCTCCATCACCTCACCTAGTTACTACATGTTATTTTGTGTGTGGTGGAAACATTTAAGATCTTCTCTCTTAGCAACTTTCAGCTATGTAATACAGTATGTTAACTACAGTCCCCACGCTGTACAACTAGGTCCCAGAACTTACCTTATAACTGGAAGTTGGTGCCCTTCAACCAACATCTCCCCACATCTACTCCCTGTTTCTATGAGTTCAACCTTTTTAGATTCTGCACGGAAGTGAAATCACATGCTATTTGTTTTTGACTTTCCTCACTTAGCATTACGAGGTGAGTGAGATGGAAGGGAATGGATTTTGGAGCCAAGCACATAGCTGAATTGGGATTGTGACTCTCTTTACAAAGCGTGGAGATGGGAAAATGCCTTCATCTCCCTGTCCCTTGGAATCCTCCCCTTTAAGAGCAGAAGGTGCTCCCTTCCTTAGGTGTGTGAGAATGCATGAGTTGGTGTGTGTTGATCACTAGTAGAGCCTGGTGGACAGAAAATGATCAGCAACCACCAACTCAACCCTGCCTGTGAAACACCTAAAGTTCCCAATTATCCAGAATTGTGTTCTGTATCTTATTTTCTGATATTAACCTTTCATATCTTAGAAATGTCCCAGATGTGTAGAGAAAGAAAACAGGAAAGGGATTTCTACCAGGCAAAGAGATTCTCATCAAATTTACAGACATTCTAAGGGATTGGTGGCTCACCCATGCATTGTGGAGTGTTTTCAATGAATAATAGATTAATACATTTGTCTGTCCATTTATCCACTTGCCCAGGCACCCATCCATCCATCCACTCATCCAACCTGCATATGTTCTCCAAAGAAAAGTGACTATATTTCACATACTTGCTGAGAATAAAAAGCTGGAATATGCTGAATCAATGGGCATAAAGTTTCAGTTATGCAAAACAAACCATTTCTGGAGCTCTGCACTACAACATCGTGTGTTTAGTTAGTGATGCTGGATTGTGCACTTGATATTTGGTTAAAAGGTTAGACCTCATGTTAAGTGTCTTTAACACAATCACATAATTCTAAAAAGTCAGAACTAGGTGATAAAATAGTAGAGGTCAGGCCCTCTGGGAATGATGAGTCCTGGGGATGACTCAGATAGTAACCACACAATTAACAAGTACGGAAGCACACACTTAGTTATGTGTTTGGAGGCACAGCCTCTTGGACCTTGGAGATGGGATGTCAGGCACTGGAGAGAAGGCTGGGATATGCAGGAAGATCTAGGCCGGATGAAGTGACCTTTGAGGGCAGAGCTGAAGCTTGAGAGCCTTAGAGAATTCCAGGACTAGGCCACAGCACGTGGAAGAGACCTTGCACTCCCCCTGGGAATTCCGTCCCCTATTCCTGTCCTCTGAGTAGGCGTGCTGTTTGGATTCTTCTGTAAAAAGGTTGTAAGACCTTGCTGGTGCCCTTATCAATAACGATTCAGGTAAAAATGTCCACTCATGTTTATTCTATAACTGTAAAAGACCAACTGTTTTACCTTTTAAAAAAGTGATCTTTTACCCAAATAGACATTAGGAAAAGGTGTGTTGGTCACAGGTTGCGCACGTGTGCATCTGGACTGGCTGCTCCCACCAAGAGGGACACACAGCGTGCACACCGCGCTTCACCCCGGCCCAGAGCAGCAGACACATGCCTGACCCTACGGTCAAGCTCAGTGTCGCCGTGCCAGTGAGCACAGAGGCGGAAAACAGGGCATATGGTGAGCAGACACGACTCTTGGCCCCCCAGCGTAGATGTTCTTTCTCACCTCCCGCTTTCGCTTTATGGGCCGCCCTTTCACTCCTGCAGCAGAATCCACCCAACTTCCTAGAAACGAGGCTCTGAGTCATTTCTGCCTCCCCAGTGCCCTTTGCCTCCTGTCTCAGACACCTCCTCCTCATCCTGAGGTCCTGCCGGCAGCGCCGGGGGTCCCGGAGCTGGGCTGCTGCTCTGAATCTGGGGGGAAGCTGAACTCCATGTAAGCATTCATCTGTCATCCACGGCCTGTGTGGCAATGCCGCCCCATCCCTGAGCCCCCGTCTCCTCACCGGGAGCAGTTCGTCGGTGTGCATGTGTGGTCAGGGCCACCAGGGCCGCGGGTGGGGCTCAGTCATGGTTATTTTCCAGATCAGATGGAGACGTATGGGATTTGGTACAAGAGAAGATCGTGGCGTCCACTCTGCAGTCCAGGTGGATGGCGATGTGCTCACTTGAGAGCCCCCAATGCTGAGAAATGCTGTGTATAATGTTTCTGCAGCGTGTAGACACTGCCAAATGCAGGAAGAGGGAAATGAAAGTTCCCAACAGTGGGAGGGGCACAACAGATAAAAAAGGCCAAAGCTGAGAGGCCACCTGTGCCTGGAACAGCCAGGAGTCATCAGAGGGGAGGTTTCCCCTCTGTGAAAACAGGAGAGGGACCCTAGGTCCTCAGGGCGGGAGGGGCCCGGGGCCTGTGTGAGTCAGGAAGCTGTGTTCCTCCCTTCCCCGCTTTTGTGGAGGGACACTGGGGTGTGTCTGCCCACTGAGCGGCCCGTGCTCAGCACTGAGCCCCGTGCTTTGCACGGACATGAAACAGGTTCACGGCAGGACAGGCAGCCTGGGTACCCGTCTTTGGGGGCGTGTGAGGCTTGCACTGGTCCTGTCCCTTCTGGACAGCCCTGAGGGGATGCTAAGTTTGGGAGAGTGGATGCCACAGGGCAGGCGCAGCTGCGCTAGTCCTCGTCATCATGCCTGACGGCCGGGACAGCCGCGGGAGAAAGTCTCTATGGGAAACAAGGTGAATGGAAACTAAGCTTCCAACGGG